CCCCCCCCCCCCCCCCCCCTCCCTCCCCCCCGTGCCCGGGCCGCCCCATTCACCTGGTTAGGGATGAAGCGGCCCGGGCTTCCTCAAGCGCGTTCGCCTCTTCCACGGCGTCGGGTGCTCCCAGCGCCCCCATCTGCAGCCAGCCCCCTGGGATGGTCTTGGCCTTCGCTTGAGCGATAGCCTCCTCCACGCCTTGATCGTTGAGGTCCATGGACGAGCGGCGCTTCATGCTGGTCATCCACGAAAGGGGTGACTGCGTGGCCGCCTTTCTTCCTCCACCTGGTCGCTGTGTCGCAGCACCTCGCGAGCGGTTCGCAGGCTTTGCCGTGGGGGCTGCGGTGGCTTGTTGAAGCCAGTCTGGACCGTTGCTTCCTCCCCCTATATCGAGCGCACAGAGGAGTTGAGGTGAGAGCTTAACTTAACGTACGTAGGGCACTAAGTACAGATGATCATGAGGGGAAAGACGCGAGAGCGCATGCCGTTGGTTGCTGAGGTGTTCATATGGGAGGGACTAGAGCTAGGACAAGGTGACGGCTGCGGAGACTGTAACTCCGACGCACTCTCACGTTGATCTGGTCTGATTTTGGTAGTTTTTCACCCGAGTCTACATATTCCGGTTCGATAGTGCGCTCTCAAGCGAACACTACGCATGTTGTGTGGCCATCATCATATTGCACCTCGTCTGCCTGGACCTGCTTCGCTTGGTCGTTCCTCTCGAACGTCGAGAACGAAATGGCCATCAGGGTGCTACCGATCCACAGCTATCCACTCGTTGCATACATACCTGTACCCGTAGGGCCTCCACCAGCCTGATTTTCCTGGACGAGCCAGTCGCCGGGGCTGCCGCCTGGTGCTGGTGCTGCCGCCGCCCCCTCGGCGTCCGGGCCCAAAGACGCGAGGATCCAGTCTGGAGTAGCTGGGGTGTCATGCTCCTGCTTTGGCGCGACACAAACCGGTATTGTATGCATAAGAGGGATTGACATGGGGGATGTAGGAGAAACGGGGAGCAGGAAAGGTGGTTTAGAACAGTGCTGTCATTCTCTCACGCCTGACACGTAGGACTTTAAAGCACTATTCTTACGGCCAATGGACTGGGCTGCGCGAGCAAGCTCCGAAACTCGTGAATCGCCCGGTTACAGTCATATGTGACCCCGGTTGGGTCGTCTCGCTAGTAGAAGTGGAGGATGGGGACCAGAGGGGCAGACGACAGAGTCTAATGATGGGAGAAAAAGAAAAAACGTCATACCGCACCAGTTAAAGGTATCCGACACCAACCAACTCATTCTACGTTGTCCGAGGGTCGACGGAACGTAATTGCATACCAACTGTCAATGCGTTCCTGTGCGGTTTCTACACGTTGAGCGCAGGAGGCACTCACCACCACCAACAGAGTTGAGAATGTGACAAGCAAAAAAAAACTGGATATTATTGGTGGTTTCTCTTTGTTCATGATTCTACAACACCCAAGGATGCATATATTCACCTGTTCGGGTGGCGGGTCGGGGTCAGTATCTGGCTCGGCTTCCGGTTCCGGAGGTGGAGGAGTCCACGGCTTGGCCCAGGGCGGGAGCTTAGGGCCATTCGCTGTCTTGGTGGCTTCTTCGATGTTTTCTTCGGTCTGTGTTTCAGTCGTCGCCATCAAAGGTCGACCGCCGTCGCTATCACCACCGTCCTCGTCGCTCTCGTCTTGTGCCGGAACACCGAGTGCCCCTGAGCTGAGCCACCCTGCAGGCCCGCCTGCAGCCGACACGGACCCTCTACTCGGCTGCTTCTTCTTCTTCCGAGGCTTAGCACTACCGCGATCGGTCTTGCCGGCCTGGTCTTCGTCGCTGCCGTCGTCTCCCGTCGAAACGCCAAGCTTTCCAGAAGACATCCATCCACCGGGTGCCGCACTCTTAATGGAGGCTCTCTTCGCGGCCGTAGAGCTCTTGTTGTGCTTAGTCATGCCTCTCGACGTGGCATCACCCAACCAGTCCGGCACTGATGTGGAAGCCGGCGTGGCGGCCGCTGTATCCTTGCTGGCAGCTTCTGTGAGCCAGCCGAGTCCGTCGTTACCGCCGCTCGCCTGCCCAACCCCACCCTCGTCGGCCTCTAGCGCTCTTTCCTGACCTAATGCGTCGGAGTGTTTCTGCACGGGGAGCATCACACGTAACCCGCAACAGGGTGGGGAAGAAAACATTCAAAGACGTGAATGGAGTCGTGTGATGCCACGGTTTGCCCAACGCTTCAGTGAAAGGTTGAGAAAAGATTCCATTTCAACACACAACTTGGTGGGCACTCTGCACAGGTAACCAGTTCGCACGTATTTATACGGAATGGAACCACTGATATCGACCTTGATTGCAAGACGACTGACTATACGGTACGAAAGTTGGCGTGGCAACCGATCCGTAGCTCACCTCATCAGCAGGTGCACCAGCCACGGCAGCAAGCCAAGAGGGTACCCCTCCCGACCCCGCCGGCTCGAGCTCCTATTGCATTTATTCAGTATCGATGTTGGGCACGGGAAGCGGGAGAAAACAAAAAGCGGCAAGTAGACCTGGGCGTCAGAGATACGATGCTCTGCGTGCTACTTCGTGTTCTGACACGCAGCGTATGTGTAGCCGTGGCGCACTCACAGAGGTTCGTATTGTGCAGGCGGATTTTGTCGAGTGCGCCACAGCGTGGTCATCACCAGGTTTTGTTTTGATCACGCCCAGACAACACACCTTTGGGCCCGTGCTACCGCGTAGTTTTGGACCAGTCTCTTGTCGAACGCAAATACCTCAAATATTATTATAAAACGTCAGGTGAATCACCTGCTTCTCGATTGTCAGCTCGGCGGCAGTATCTGGCACGACTTCTGGAATCGGATCTGGAGGAACATAGGGCTTGGCCCAGGGTGGGAGCTTACGGGTGCTCCCCCTTTCTGCTGCTCCCCTGGTGGCTGCTTCGATGTCATCGTCGGTCTGAGTTTCGATGGTAACGGCGGCACCTCGTCGGTCGTTGTCGCCGCCGCTACCCTCCTCCTCGTCGCTCTCGTCCTTTGCCGAAACACCGAGTGCGCCAGCGCTCAGCCACCCTCCAGGCCCGCCTGTACCCGACACGGAACCTCTAGCCTTCTTCTTTTTCTTGGCCTTGGCCACACCGCCGCTGCCGCTGGTCTTGCCGGCCTGGTCGTCGTCACTGCCGTCTCCCGCCGGTAAACCTAGCTTGCCCGAAGACATCCATCCACCGGGAGCTGCAGCTCCAACGGAGGGTCTCTTCACGGCGGGAGAGCGCTTAGCCTGCCCGCTCGATTTCGCTACGGCCAACCAGTCCGCCCCTGCATCACCCTCGCTCGAATCCACCCCGGCAGTAGACGGGATGCCCGATGCTGCAGCAGACGGCTTGTGGCTGTCGGCGGCTTGCGTGAGCCAGCTTAGTCCATCGCTGCCACCGCTAGCTTCTCCATCTTGCTGGTCTCTTTCTTCACCTAGGGCGTTGGTGGATTCCTGCCGCGGAAGCACACGCGAAAATAGATGTCAGTATGGGGCGCTTCGAGGCGTGTGGTTTGGACGGGGCGAAGAGGAGGTACGTTCAATGGACGTTCGCTTGCCGGCAACAGATGAAAGGTACACAACCGCGCTTACTTTGTCAGTGTTGCTTATCGAGACACACAAGGTCATCCGCGGCAAAAGAAACGTCCTGAGGTATGGTATGTACGGACGGAGGAGAGAAACACCAACAAGCTCTCGCACTATCCCAAAGGCCTCGCCCTTTGGCAGCGAATCGAGCAAGGCAACGAAGGTTTTGGCAAAAATAAACTTACCCCGCACACCTTCCCCGCACACCCTCCCCTCTCACCTCTCCAGAGGCCGTACCAGTTGTTGCGGCGGCGGCAAGCCAGTCACTAACCCTTACCCCTGATGTTGCAGGCTCCCCCTTCTCTTTCGCAGCTTCCTCTGACCCTTCCTTCTGCTCGGTGGTTTCTGCCTCAGCTGCTACTGCTGTCGGCGCCGGTGCCCATCGCGGCATGCCGCCGCTAAGGCTCGGCCGTCGCCCTACGTCATGAGTGGAGGTAGTAGTGCTACCACTGTCACCCACCGCGCCCTCTTCCTTAGCCGGGGCCCAAGGGGGCGGACCTCCGGACAAGCTTGGTCTACGGCCCTCGCTTCTCGATCGAGATTCGGGGCCGGTACTGCACCCGGATTCGACGTGTTCGGTTGTTTCCAGCGCCGGATGGGATTGACAGCATGGGTGCCGAGGGGGGAAGGGGCGTCGAGAGGTAAAGAAGAAGCTCGCGTGGTAGCCATGAGGTAGTCGTTAGGGGATACAGGATGCGATATGGAGCTGTGTGTCGTAGTTGCCCCTCCCATTGTAGGAGATTGGTTGATACATCACAGCGAATATCGCGTGAGATTGGAAACAGACGTTCAGTCCGCACAGCCGTAGGTGGTGTTGGGGTCATGCGACGGTGGCATGTCATGACAGATCGGCGGTGCCTCAACGTGTGAAATGTGTGCTTTCCATACTCCAGCAGCGTCTGAACATTTCCTGTCTACGATTCACTTGCGGAGCAGAAGCGTAGTCTGGACGGGAAGGTGCCTCGCTTGCGACTGAGCAGGCCCCATCGAGCATACCGGTAAGAGGCGGAGAGATGGCACCCCCCCAGACCTATTTTCAAAGTTCGTTTGCTTCAAAACCAAGCTTGTGTCAACCCAAAATATTGTGGTTTTGGAAACTTCTGTTCGAGGGCTTTCCGTAGATATATGGGGGTCCCTCCGCACTCACTCACTTGGTTGTGGAGCAATCGAGCTTTGAAAGTCGGTCTGAGGGGACTGGCATCTCTCCGCCTTTTACGGTAACCAAGAGGTTAATCTGGCTATTTGCATTTGAAAGCTGTTCTTGGGTCTGTTTTTCGTTAACTAAAATATTGCTCAGCATTTTAGGAGAATTACATTCCACAATGTAACCACCCGTATCTCTTCATTTTGTATTTGGTTGTAGCGCAACACCGACTGGCACATTGTTGGGTGATGATGTAACTTGGTCGTTTATTGTCGTTCGTGTGCCATTTGGTGGTCGTTCGCGTGTCACGACACAGCGATGGTTTTAGCGGTGTGTGTCGTCATCTACCCATTTTTTTTGTCGACTACAACAGAGTCGTGCGACGTCAAAATCCCCGCTTCGTTTTTTCCATCTCGTCTAACATACCCACCTCCATACACCAAGCTAACCGTGCACCATTGGCACCGTTACAGCCCTAGTCATTGCAGTAGCCAGCGAGCCCTGCACCATAATTTGACCGTGAAAACCCCTACTGGCGTAGACTACTTCACCCCCCCACCCCCCCAACAGTTCACCTACGAAATACTCCCCCCCGCTCCCCCCGGGCCGCCCTGTTCACCTGGTGAGGGGTGAAGCGGCCCGGGCTTGCTCGAGTTCGTTTTCTTCCGCTAAGGCATCGGGTGCCCCCAGCACCCCTATCTGCAGCCAACCCCCAGGAGCAGCCTTGGCCTTGGCTTGAGCGACAGTCGTTTCAACGGTTTGGTCGTCGAGGTCCATGGATGACTGGCGCTTCACTTGCTTCATCCACGAGAGGGGCGATGCCGGGACGGCAGCCTTTCTTGCGATGCCGGGTCGCTGCTGAGGCATTGATGCAGCCTGACGATGTTTCGGCTTTGCGTTAGGGGCAGCGGCTTGTTGCAGCCAGTCTGGAGCGTTGGTATCTCCAGTGTTGGGCATGTCTGTTGCAAGGGAGCGGGAACGATGGAGCACCGAGATTAATTATTAGGTCTTCATATGTCCGTGGTAATACTTCGCCACTGTTTTAGGAGAATGTTTCGTGTTTCGATGTCGTCGTGAGTTCACCTTTCTCTCTCATCCATCGCAGACCGATCAACATTTCACAAACGTCATCCACCGCGTTGATTTGCAGTTTCTTGGCCCCCCAAAAACATCCGAATAGCGCATGCATACCACCTCTTCCATGCAGTGTACTCGCATGTTCTAGTTCGACTGTTCGTGCGGTACCTGAGGCACCAGCTCCAGGTTCTTGTTCTGCTGCCTGGGAAAGCCAGTTGTTCGAACCACCTCCAGATGCAGGCACCCCACCGCTAAACCCGTCCGCATCTTGATCGCCCAAAGACGCGAGGATCCAGTCTGGAGTAGCCGAGGCGTCGGTCTCCTGCAAGCGTTGAAGCCAGGTAGGACATCACAAGGTGCACGAATGGCGAGACAGCGGCCAATTTGTGAGAGGTTTTGGTATCGAGAATATTGCTGATCTGCAATACGTACCACAGGTAGTTTTCTGCTAGGTGTTCCTACTTGATAATTTCCTTCGTTTGAAGCTCTACGGGTGACGTGGCAGCACTACCTGTTAAGAGTTGATCATCGTTGTTATTGGGAGAGCTGGTCTACAGGTGGATTTGGCCGCAGAAGTAGATGCAAGAGTTGAGACTACACATGAACAGATGATACCCGATGCTATCAAGTAGTACGTGGAGATGGAGCATGGTATGAGATGAATGCCCACCGTGACCATGGAATCCCCCCAATAAAACAATATGCATGATCCAATCGTGGCCAAAGCTGCGTGGATAGATCACCTCTTTCTCCGGAGGTATTTCAGCAGTTGAGTCAGCAGTGGAGTCTGGCGCGACGTCGTCTTTCGGCGGTGGAACATACGGCTTGGCCCAGGGCGGAAGCTTCGGAACGTTCCCTCTCTCGGTAACTCCTTCGATGTCATCCTCGGTCTGGGTTTCCATCGTCACAAGGACAGGCTGACTGTCACCGCCGCCGTCGTCGTCGTCGTCGTCGCTTTCTTCCTCTGGAACACCAAGAGCACCCGAGCTCAGCCACCCTTCAGGGCCACTTGCGACAGATACAGACCCTCTAGCCTGCTTCTTCTTTTTCTTAGACTTGGTGGATCTACCGGCCGTCTTGCCAGCGTCGTCTTGGTCACTGTCTTCTTCCGTCGATACCCCGAGTTTTACCGAGGACAGCCATCCACCGGGTGCCGCGGGAACGGCGGCGGCCTTGGCAGCAGCGGTTGCCGTCGCGTGCGGCTTCCGCTTCGTCTGACCGGTGGACTTGGCAGCCGCCAACCAGTCGTTAACGCCACCCGCCGCGCCGTCCACCACTGCGGCAGATGGCTTGTCAATCGGTGCGGCCGCACCGAACGTCGAGCTTCTGGCGGCTTGCGTGAGCCAGCTCAATCCACCGCCGCCGGCACTGTCTTCTTGTCCGGCTGTTGGTCCTGCCTCTTCAATCATAGCTCCAGAGGGGTCCTGAAAGACGGGCATAGGCTCGATTAAAAGGGCCTTCGCACGGTCAGGCGTGAGTCACGGGATGATCTAGATAGGCTATGGTCGATCTCTAACCGGGAACATTACTAATACCACACTTGGGGGCCTGAAACAAGCAACTGCAAGAGAGAGGTACTCCACAAATTCCCCCGAACCATAGCAGCTACCGGGAAATAGGAAATTGTCTGTACAGTTAAGAGTAATCCTGCTGCTTATCTCTTACCTCCCGGGAAGATGATGTACCGGCGACAGCGGCCAGCCAATCCGGTATCTCGGACCCCTAGGCACAGGAAAAATCGAGCACACGGAACGGTGTCCAGGACATGCCGGATAGCTGTTTTACGTCTATGTGCCATGACAGCGTTGGCGATTGTCCTGGTTGACCCGGACGGTTTCTCCTAGCGTGGATCTACCCGGTCATCGTCAGCGTACTGGGAGCCAATCAATGAATGAGGACGTTGTTGCAGGAATCTCTCAAGACACCCGAGCACGTCGAGCCTGGTACGTCAAGAAGCGTAAGAGTTTGGATCAAACACCTCCCAGGGGTATATTGTGATTCGACCTTGTCAATGAACCTCTGTAGCAAGTACCTGCTTTTCGGGCGCTCCTTGAGGAGCAGAATCCGCTTTAGGCGGGGTGTCTGGCACGACTTCGGGCTTCGGAGGTGGGACATACGGCTTGGCCCACGGTGGAAGTTTAGGAGCATTCCCCTTCTCTGTGGCTCCGCCTTTTGTAACTGCTTCGATGTCCTCCTCCGTCTGGGTCTCTATCGTCACGCCAACACCTCGATCGGTTTCACCACCGCCGCTATCCTCATCGCCACTCTCGTCCTCTGCCGGTGCCCCAAGAGCACCGGAGCTCATCCACCCTCCAGGACCGCTGGTGTCCGCTGGTGACTGAGCAGCCTGCTTCTTCTTCTTCTTGAGCTTGGTGACAGCAGACCCGCCGCCACCAGTCTTGCCGGCATCGTCTTGGTCACTGTCGTCTTCTGTTGATATGCCAAGCTTTCCCGAAGACATCCACCCACCGGTTGCAGCAGGAGCGGCGACCGTCACGACCGACTTGCGCTTTGTCTGGCCACTGGATTTGGCAACATTCAGCCAGTCATCGAGACCACCACCCGCCTCCAAACCATCGTTTCCTGAATCAACGGGGGCAGACGACGGAGCGACCGGAGCGGCCGTACCGGACACTGAGCTTCCAGCGGCTTGCGTGAGCCAACTCAACCCACCGCCGCCGTCTTCATCTCCTGGCCCGGCAGCCACTGGTCCAGGTTCTTCGCTCGGAACTTTGGGGGCCTCCTGAAGGACAGGTACGGACATGGTGAGGGACATGTCGTAACGTGTGAGGATTTCTTTGCACCAGAAGAAGGTAGGCTTGTACCACGCGACCGCTGGCCAATCAGAAGGTGAGCGGCCGTAGGTTTAGGTTGAAGAAATAGTGACCTTGTGGGTGCTGAACGGCGCTTCTAACAAGGAAAACCTGTTTAAGGTGTCAGAATGTCACAAGGAAACGTGTTCCCGGTGCCCGATTCACCAAATATGTGTATTACTACGACAAGACAAGATACCCCCTCTCACCTGCCCGGAAGGAACACCAGCGGCTGCAGCCAGCCAATCCGGCATCTCTGGCCCCTGACATATGTTACGAAAGCGCGATAGCCAATGGCATCAGGAATGAGATACAGAGAGATGCATATCAGTGTCAGAGCTACAGCGAGGATACGTCGACGCCAAAGGGAATGACTCGAAAGATGCCCTGGGTAGTTGGTGGTTGGTCCCTACCAGATAGACTTCGGTTGTTCCCACAGATAGACTTCATCGTGTTTGCTCAAAACCCTTCACCCAAGACGAGGTGGCACAATCGGCTGAATTTGAAGCTGCTGCAAGTTCTGTGGCAAGTATTGGAGCTGTAAGCGCTACGGGCAGGGTAAACTTGAAAACTCATGGTTTCGTAGGAGAATTTTCTCAACGATTAAGCCATAAAGTCTAGATCACCTCCTTCTCGACCTCTTCTCCAGAGGTAGATGCTTTTGCAGGAGCTGCGTCTGGCTCGATATCGGGTTTCGGGGGTGGGACATACGGCTTGGCCCAGGGTGGAAGCTTCGGGACGTTGGCCTTCTCTGTGGCTCCCCTCTTCGTGATTGATTCGATGTCTTCTTCGGTCTGAGTTTCAATCGTCACGGCAACGCCTCGGCCGCTTTCACCAGCGTCACCACCACCAGGGCCTCCGACGTCGTCGTCATCGTCGTCGTCGCTCTCATCTTCAACAGCAACACCGAGAACACCAGAGCTCAACCATCCGCCAGGCCCACTCTCGCTCACCGACAACTTCTTCTTCTTCTTTTTCTTCTTTGTTGGGATGGGGTTGCCACCGCTGCTACCGCTACCCCCTCCCCCGCTAGCATTAGCGGCAACCTCTTCATCGCTGCCATCCTCCGTTGAAAGGCCAAGTTTTCCGGATGACATCCATCCCCCAGGTGCAGGGATGGCTACCGAACGTCTAGCCGTGGGATTATGGAGCGGCTTCTGCTTGGCCTGACCGCTTGATTTGGCGATTGCCAGCCAATCGTCACCCCCAGCATCGTCGTCCTGATGGTCTGCCTTTTGTCCGCTGAACGTTTCAACCGCCGGTTTAGCCACTGCGAGATCGCCCTTCAAAGCAGCTCCTAGCCAATCAGTATCTTCTTCCTCTTTTGCTTCTCCAGGAGTGTCGCCAGAAGGTCTTCCTGGCTGTGCGTGCGGTGGGCTCGGAGCGGCTGCTGTTGTTGCGGTCGGGGGAGCGAGGCTTTGGAGCCAATCGAGGCCACCAGCTGGTTCATCTTTCGCTTCGCTTTCGGCCGATGTTTTGTTTGTCGTTGTTGTGGCCGCAGGGCTCCTGGAATGGACATCCGAGGAAGTACAATAAGGGGGACGGGTGCGTGTGTGTGAAGTATACTGTTCGGAACGTTAGAGAGCAACGACGAAACAAAGGATTTAACCAACTCCCGCACGTATCTTTACTGGTCAAGGGGCCAATTTGATGATGATGAGTCATTTAAAGCCCCCTTAACATAACTTCATGCTGGGAGGGTGTTCTCACCCTGATTCGGCTTGTTTAGGTGCTGGCAGGATGGTCTTCTGGCCCCACTTCGGCATCCCTGATCCAAGAGACGGTGTACTCGCAACGCGACTGGAATCGGGTGAAGGCTCTTGAGTTTTAGGCTTGTAAGGTTTTGCCCACGGAGGCATGCTCGTCGACGCGGCTGGCTCTGAACTCCCCGTGGAGGGAACACCTTCGTCTTTCGCAACGGTGGCCGATCTCGACACAGGAACAGGTTGCGCAAAGTCATCGTCATCATCGTCACCGTTTGACTTGAGAGGCGAACTCATCCAAGAAGGCGGGGCCTCGGCTGTCGCCACGTCCGGAGACGGTGTCTGGAGACCCGCCCCTCGGCCTGGCGTTTGACTCAGACCCATCCCTGGTCGTGGAGGGGGCCTTCCTCGACCCCTACCCATACATGCCCCTCTCGGGCCAACCATCATCCTTCCACCGGGTCTACCGCGCCCCCTTCCACCTCCACGCATGGGTCCCCGCGGCCCTCTACCCATACCGCCTCTCGGTGGCATAGGCCCCCTAGGTGGCATAGGCCCTCTGGGCCCTCTAGGCCCTCTGGGCCCTCTAGGCCCTCTGGGCCCTCTAGGCCCTCTGCCCATTGCCGTACCGGGGCGTGGTGGCATAAGGCCTCCTCGCCCTCCCCCTCTCGGCATCCCAGGTCTTTGTGGCATCGTTCTACCCGGGATTAACTTGACGCCGTCGGGTCTTGTTGGAGGTCGAAAAGGAGGGCCAGCTCTTCCTCCCCGCTGGACAAGGCCTCTCGGTGGAGGTCGGCCCAATCCGCATTGAGGGCAGCCGGGCGGGCCGAGGCGCGGCAGTCGTCCCAACCGCCCCCCTGATAAAGGGGCCCGTGAGTCTCTTGGGCTGCCGGTTGATTCCGACAGAGAGGCAGATAGAGGATATGAGGTTTTCCGAGTCTTCTTGGGTTGACAGCCGGTCGCAACACGGTTGATTTCAGTTGGCGATAACACGGGTCAGATATCGCCGCGGTACATACGCTACATGGGATCAGAGTCAATAACGATTTGAAGTACCGGCCATAGTCCCTGCTTGTTCAGTTTGTACCGAGCCACAATGAAAACCCATGTTCTACCAGCACTTACGCTGTGTTCGGTCGTTGCATCAGAACGCTTGGCGCTCGACGGTGGTCTTCCGCTCCACTTGCCGAGCTTGGGCGATCATTAGAAGAACGACGGAATGCGTTGACAATCTGCGGTGGCGTCGTCAAATCGAACGCGAGGCGTGTCTTCGTGGGGACAAGAAAGCTAACGAAAGGCGGAGGCGAAGCATACCTATACTCAACAAGTATTTTGTACACCACCCCGATCCGAGGGAGTTCTTTGTTTGTGTTGCGTTGGTCACGAACCCATCGCGGGTTTCGGCGGGAACGAAAGGAGGACCAGCGGATCTCGTATGATAAAATAACATGGACGAAAGAACGTACGAACGCTGATTGCCCGACAACGCACAAGACCCGGTTGAAGCAGTACGGCGCACCGGCAGAAAACGTTTGTTTTGCGTCACCTGCATTTTTGGTTCCTAATAAAGCCATCATATCCTGGTGAGAGCTGTCGACTGAAATTCAATTATGTGAATCTCGCTGTGGACCTACCACGTGAATCAAACGCACCTCTCTGTTGACCTCATTGACTCGTGGCACGTGGGCCCTTGTATTTGTAGACGCCCCCGTCGCTTCCACTGCCGCACAATCTAAAAAGGCCAGCCATCTTCGTGGCCGTGATTTGTTCGCCGGTTCGACTGTCGCCGACATCGGTGGGGGCAACCAAGTTGCTGCCGAAGAAGCGCGATGGTGGAAGAGGTCGAAGTCCCGCGGATCAAATGCGCCGTGCTTTCATTGCAGAGGGAGCAGAACGAGAGAGAGAGAGACCGAAGTGATTCACGGCCGACCGTCTCTGGAGGTACAGAAACCACAGCGAGTGGATTCGTGACAGAACCCGCCTGCCTATCCCGTGCCGGCGTCGTTCCTACAATATGTCGAGTGCGGCGCACGAACAGAAGTGGTAATCGGCGGGTGTGTTTCGTTTCGTATGTTTCTTTTGTTAGCATCCACTGCCGCCGTGTTACTCGGCTGACCACTGAAAACACACGGGCGGCATGTTTAGCTACACTGTGCTGCAAGAGAACATGGAAAGTTAGGAACTTGAACTTGCACATTAAGTGCGGGTACATGCGGTTTCGCACACGCCTCGAAAAACTTGGAACACCCTCCAGCGTCGCCTCTGTGCTCGGCACAACACTTCGCGGGGAGGAAACTCAGCTTCCTTCGCCCGTTGCCTCCGCGCTGATTCTCGGATATGGCGTTTTCATGGGAGCTTCTACTAGTGGTCGTGCTGCTAGCCGATTCCATGGCTTTGTTGGGAGTTGGGGGGGTATCAGGAGTGTCGGCACAAAGGGATGATTCAAAGTTGCCTCTCGTTGTAAACACGTGGACTGGCGACTTCAGCCAGGCTACGGCACGGGCTTGGGATGCGCTGAGCTCCGAAGAGGCGCACTCTCCCGCCGTACTGGATGCAGTGGAGCACGTGAGTGTGGGATCCTTAGTTTATCGAGGTAGGCCGAGGCACCAATATACTGCTGGCGATGTGTTCTCTTTGTTATGATAGCGGTGCATTGAAATCGGGATGTTTGTCCTCCTGCCTTGTTGACGTTGAGGTACAACTGCAGAACTGATGATGTCCGCGTGCTCGCGAGACAACTGCCCGAATACGAGGCAACACTGCAGCTGCAGGGTAGCCAGTCGAGCAAAACAGATAAGTACAGAAGTACAAATACCAGCTATGGGTCTTCACTGATCATTTTGCCCTCTCTGGACTCATCATTTACAATACACCGAAAATAGACTAGTTGAGGCAGCTAGACGACTGATCATTTCAAAGTCTACACAGCTAACCTGCCCTACTGACCGCAGCGCGACCACCCATCAACCCTTCTACGACCCTGTCTGTGGCCACCACCCTGTCGCCGGCTTCTCTCATGGCCTACAGTTGGAGGTAGCTGTTGCGTGTGCAGAAGTACACTGGTGTCTTTCTCTGCACTTCTCTCTCTCCCGCTCGCTCTCGCTCTAATTTTTTTTTCGGCGCAAAAAAAAATCTGACAGTCCAGCCTAGACCCAAAGGGGTTAAGAACCGCTTATTTTGCGTGAGGCTCGACGCTTATTGGTTGCCCCAAACCGAGCACATGTTCTTATTTACCGAGTTCTTATTTGGAGCAGGTATCCACCTACGATAAATGGGGTTCTTGTTCTTATTTCTACGCCGACTACTGTACTCCATGCAGAGGACGGAGATCAATGCGGGTGAACTTCAACGTCACACTTGAAAGTAGAGTGTTTTGACACCAGCATAAAACTATCGTTCAACAGGACCTCCGGATCGAACGCACTGCAGCTTCCGCGATCACTGTAAAGTAGAAGGGCAGACAGACGCGGCATCGCCGTAAGAAGAGGTATCATGGGCAACATTCAACTGCTTAATGGTCCACAAGGGTCACGTTAGGCGTGCGTGTCCTCCCCGCTCTAGTAACTCCTCCCGTTGTGACTGTACTGCTTGTGGCCGGATCTCCCCCCTGCTCTGCGATGGTAGGATCTCCCCCCTCCTCTACGGTGCCCCCCTCCAGCAAAACCCATGACCCTACCACCGCATCCGCATCTTCACTATACTTCTCCAACGGCAGCTTCATGCTGCGTGTACTTTGGTCTAGCTCAAAATGCACACGGTAGTCGTAAAGGTGACGGGTACGCTCCTGAGACTGCCGAGTCATCAGCCCACCGAACCAACCTAGGCTCAGCCTAACTAGTACTCCACGCTGCAGTAAACGAATTATCAAGAACACCGGGAGTAGCCTCTTGAAGGCGAAAACCGTCGGGAATGCCGTGAATCTCATGGGCCGGGTCCATGGTGTCGTCTTCGTCCAGAAGACTCAGCTCGTCGTTCTGGCCGCGGGCCGTGTCTGCAGAGATCGGCATTGAATCACGCAGTAACATCACCGTCGTCAGAAAGTTAGTTTCCTCAACATGAAACATCCATGGAAGCAACAGCAGTAACAATAACAACAACAACAACAACAACAACAACAACAACAACAACAACAATAGCAACAGCAACAGCAACAGCAACAGCAACGGCAACAACAACGACAAAATACAGAGAGTCTGGTGAACATCCAACTTGCCGTGATCGTCTTCGTCGCTGGACCCGCCGTCCTCCATGCCCTCCCTGCTGGTGTCTCCGTCTCCCTCAAACCTTTGGTCACCCCCTCCCCCCGCACCCTCCCCAGACTCTAGAGGTCCCTCGTCATCGCTGGAGTTCTCGGCGTCCATGAAGGTATACGGTTTGTCCAAACCCTCCACGTTGATTCGGTCATCGCCCGAACGACCAACAGTCATCGCCATGCCGCACTTCTCGAAAAGGCGAAACCGGTACTCCTCGCGGCTGTCAAGAATTTCCATGGCTGCCCCAACCCATTGCGTGATCAGCATACATGCAGCGTGGAACGCACCCAGCACCACGAGCACACGAAATGCCTCGCAGAGGGGGGTACACTGTGTGTACATCGGTCACCCCCCTCCCTCGGCACGTGCAAGAATATTTCAAGGGGTGCCCCTCCCCCCCCCCCACCCCTCGAATCTGAAACTAACTGCTGTTGGGGTCACCCCCGCCACCTTATCTCGCGTTGTTATCTTGCAGCCGCCCGTGTTTTGGGCTCCGTTCTTATCTGTGTGAGCATTGGTACACTACCAAGGCGGGTTCTAGTTCTTATACGACGTCAGAACTGAGCACATGTTCTTATGGCCATGTTCTTAGATTTTGGATTTTTTGAGGCTCAAGTTCTTAACTGTTAAGTTATTAAGTGGTGGCGCGTTCTGTACGATGATGATGTACTTGACTACATAATATGCCGATGTGCTGTAGTACATGACGCTTAGTATCACCCCCCCCCGCTACGGTTTACCTTCTTGACTACTGCTGTACCTGTGGGGTGGATAGCACCCAAGGACAACAAGCAGGGTGCCGTCTCTCGCTTGAGAGTTTCCGTGAGTTATCCCCCAAACACATGCAGCAGTGGACCAGAGCCCGAAGTATGGCTGAGTTGGCGAAGCAAATAACACCGACCTCAACCCCCTCTTTCCGAGTCAATCCCCAGGATAAGCATGGCTAAATCCTCTTCCGTTGTTGGTCTCTTGTTACCGTTGTGCCCCACCGGCCGCTCGTTGTGAAATGCCAGGGATGCAACACGTGCGAAGACATTCAGTGCGGAGGGAGTGTGGGTGAGATGTCTACTTGAAGAAGAATTGCACTTTTTAGACGTGTGCTCTCACATCTCGTCCAGCAGCATCCCGTCACACGCATACTGTACGTTGGCATCGCTCGTTTGGTGTCCCACGTAGGACACACGTGTAGGCGCGCTTTATTTTCGCATTCAGTGATGTGGAGGCAATGTACAACATCGTCAGATGTCATCGTGAACAAAGCGGGCTCAAAACATGTGCATGTCAACGGCTTGGAATCCGACGTTTGATCGAACCGGAAATTACGTTTTGTGAGATGCTGGTTCCTTGACGAGAAAACCTAATTATGTCCGTTTGTGGTTGGCTTCAAAAGGGTATGGCGGCCGTCCAGATGCTTCCGACGAAGTCACCCTCGATTCAATGGTCATGTACGGGCCATCACACAGCGTTGGTGCTGTGGGGTATCTTCGGAGAATAAAAAACGCCGCTACTGTGGCTAGAGCTGTGATGGAGGTGAGAACACATCTTCGCCCGCCTGTGCGCTCCTCCTACTTCTCGACGCAACAACCACTCTTTCAAAGCATTTGAACGCTGCGATAGCCGTGGCCATCTCTTGAAACTTGTGAATGGCTACTGCGGCGGAAACTCCATCTAGAAATTGCATCCTTGTCGTCCTTGGTGCAAGGTTCCCGATCCCATGTTTCGTGGAGTTCCTCGCAGCGCATGGCTTGCTGCTGAACAACCCTGCCCAACTAGGCCTAGACCTTCCACAATTGAGGACTTACGCAATTTTCCTCGAGCGTCTGCGACAAGACCGCCTAACCACACACTGACGGACGAGCAGTCCCGATCCAGCCATATATTTCCGCCGCGTGATTGTTTTCTGCGTGTAGCTTCGTTCGTCTCACTTGAATATCGCTACACCTATCCCCCACCATTCTCGCAGCACACGGCACACACAATGCTGGCAGGTGAGGGGGCTACGCTATTTGCGAAAATGATAGGCATCGAAGAGGACGACCTCAGTACGGACGATTCGCACAAGGCGTACCAGGCCTGGAAGGAAAAATCTTGCCAGCCCAACTACTACAGATTCGCCGGGGCCGGAGATACGTGTCCTCCGTATGACCCACCCTCCACGCCATCAGCCGTTGGTGCCGATTCGAGTATTGCTGCGCTCGGAAAGCATGGCAGCCAACAAGCGGCTGCGTACGCTGATCGGAATACATGGAGTAGGTTTGATGACCGTTCCTGGTTACAGCGCTCCCGAGATCCTGCTCGATTGCTCATCTCCGAAGACAATCATGACACAATCGGTATCATCGCTGTGGATGAGCGCGGTGACCTCGCGTGCGGTACAACCACCAACGGGGCCGCGAACAAGATCCCCGGTCGGGTTGGAGACAGCCCAATCGCCGGGGCGGGTTGTTACGCAGATAACGACGTCGGATCTGCTGCGGCAACAGGAGATGGTGACGTCATGATGAGGTACGTTTGCACGTCCATGGAGATGCTCACACAGCACTTTTTTCTTTGGGTCGCGAGGGGGGTAAGTGCTGGCCACGATTCTTTCAACGTCTCAGCTGTTTCTGCGACACCAACACGGACAATGCACTTCAGCGTGCTCGCAAGTCTAGCTTTTTAACCCGGCCCAATCCGCCTTTTGTGTCCGTGTCGTCGGTTCTCGTTGGCTTTGCGGAATCTGCCCGCAGGTTTTTACCCTCTTTCCGAGCTGTGGAGAGCATGCGTGCGGGTTTCTCCCCACAAGATGCATGTGCCGACGCACTGTGCAGGATCGTGCGGTGAGTGTGGAGGTCCCCAACAACCTGATTAATACAAAAACACGGTGGTTATCCATCGCAATTTCGATCAACAAGAATGGCTTGTCTTGAGATCCCCACCTTTCGTTTGGCTTTGGTTTGTTTGTTAGTAAAAATTGTGGTTGTTTCGTTGTTTCCCGAAGCTGAAGGTCCTGACGGCTGAAGTTTTCCACTCACCTTGCCCTCAAGTTACAACATGTGGAGTGTCTTGCTGCCCCGCTCGTGTTCGCTCGAGTGAGATCATTTCTTCCTGAGACGCACACTCCTCTAGACAACAACGCCCTACTTGTTTGTAACGCAGCGCCACATCCCCTCGTGAATCAATGCCAGGTTTTACCCCACGTTTGGAGGGGCCTTGGTGTGCGCCAACAAAGCAGGGGTTCATGGCGCAGCTCGCCACGGTCTTTCGTTTGCATACTCGTACCAATCTCCCGGGTACGACTCTCCGCAGGTCGCCCAGGCGGTCAAGGTTGACGACGAAGTTTGCGCCCGCTTTCGAAAAATGCCCTCCCAGGGGGCTGAATCGTAGATCGTTGCCGGTGCAGCAGATGGATACTGTAAGGCCCGTAGATGCTCGTGTCGCGAAGTCAATCGGTACAGTTCTCCGTTGCTGTTGCTGTTGTTGTTGTTGTTGCTATCTTCACACGCTAAAAACCGTTGCGTTCTCCGCTCAGTACCTTCTAATGTCCATTGTGGTCCAGCTGAAACGGACGCCTTCCGCGGTCATAAGCAACTACCCCAAAAAATGTGAGATGCACCATAGTGCGCTTCGGGTGTGTCAGGAGTGATATACACGTACCGCCAGGTGTGATGGGCAGCCTCGAACTGGGCCGTAAAGAAAGGGCCAGGAGCTCACCACGACCTAATTTTTCACAAAGGCGACCCGCGAAGCTACCAAAATATTTCCTTATCGTGTTGGTAAAGCTGTCTGTCATGCCAAGCATCACCTACGCAGCCTAAGGCCCCTCGCGATCTTCGCAGCACACGAAACAACAAGAATAAGCACAAAGTAGAGATGCCCTGATGCCCTGGAACAACAAACACTTCGATCCTGGAAGTCGATGCCACTGCTGTTTTTACATTCGGCTGTCATACAATAGGCAATCGACACATACGTACGGCCACCACCTTTTCGTCACCAGCGCACACTTGTATACGTATACCCCTAAAGTTCGACGTCCACTTCCTCGGTTGTTTTTTCTGGACAAAAAATATCTGTTGCCGTGCGCGTTTCTCGGGCACTTACCATAACACAACACCAATTCAGCGCTGAGTACGAAACGTTGCACTCTGCACCTCACCACAACCAACCTTCGATTTCCTCCGAATACGGCAGTGCGTCACACGCAGAGCACGACGCACACGGGTTCCGCGCGATGCGCTCCCCCACAAACAATACCACAACATTGATATTCTGAAGCCCTATAGGCTTTGGTGTCTGTCGCGGAAATTCTCAGACCGATATTCGATTTTGACCCCACTTACTGTTCTGGGACCGCCTCCGCGAGAATAAGATTATAAATCAATCAATCAACAAATAGAGAGGGGGGTTTCCTACCCCTAACCTAACCCCCAACCCAGTTCCGTACCCCCCAGTAAAACCGAGGTTAATATCCTCGAGAAGGCTACTGGTTGTCTGGTAAAAGCCTCCCTATTCCAACATTTCTCTCGATTCTTACCAGAATCCGCAGGCAAAACGCAGATTTGCACCTCATCCTAAAATAAAACCTCGAATCGGTCGTCGAAACAACAGAAAAAATTGCATCTGAGACTTAAAAGATCCAAGTCCAAACCAATAACAGATGTTGGTGTTGCTACATATTCAATCATATTATCCTCCACTCCACCCCCCAGATTGTACATTTAGCATCCGAATGCCACCAAAAAATTACCAATCCAACCGATGTCGGCGTCGGTGCCACAAACAAAAATCGTGATCTGTGTATTTTGGTCATACAGCGACCTGGGTTCTTCCTCCTCCATCATCTTGCGCAGTACGCCCACAATTTCCGGGTCGAACTGTTTTGACGTAGCACACTTCATCCCGGGCGAACTCCGGCACTCCCGGCATCGGCTCCACCAACAAAGTATCTCGCGCCATCACCGTAAGCTCCACCACCGCCGAAATCGTAGGTTCCGCCGTCCGGGCTGACCCCCCTGGCCGACGAAGGGCTCATTTCGGCGGGTGAACCCGCGGCACCTGCGGCTTGGGCCCGGGCTGCACCGATCGGCTGCGAGTGCTGCTGCCTGTTTCGCCGCCGCACGGCTGGTAGCCTTTGTTTCGGCCTCCGCCCCCATTCCCCGAAAGAATATCTTTGTCTCACCCGGAGACAAGAACCTTCTGTGCCCATGGGAACGTTCTCCATGCTCCGGTACGTATCATTGTTCCCCCGCAACGCGCGCGCGATTCCATCAATTGAACCGCAAAATAATAAATCTTGAGTAGTGCGTTCACAAACTCCACACGCAAATGTAGAAATGCAGTCCGGTGGGTGACCATTTGTCCAACCCCCAGAAGCTCCATAAAAAATACCGACCGCCGGACACCCCGTACATAGTTCCTCCATCTCCATCTCCTCCGGGGGTGGTGCCACCTATCAGTCAACAATTTTCAGCAACTCCACATCGAAGACCAACGTTGCGCCTGGAGGAATGTCCGGCCCTGCTCCTCGTTCGCCGTAAGCGATATCGCTCGGTATGGTCAGGCGTCTTCTGTCTCCCTCGCACATGCCGAGAAGCCCTAATTGCGCACGCATTGAACGGGTCGCCCGAGGCGATGCGGGGTCATGATGAGCAGAGACGAGTCCGTCTATCTTCCGTGCCGCCAACGAGCACATCTCGGTCCTCTCTACTACACTATGTCGTGTGTGGCAATATCGAATGTTCGCGCGCTCAATCTGGGTAGACTAACCCGGGCAACATCAGTAGCCGCTGGCCACAGCATTCGGTATGCATTCTGCCTGAGCACGCTCACATGCTTGTCACAAGTTGAAGAACAAAATAAGACCGCTAGACAACCCACTACAAATGACGTCCGCACCAACGGCTACAACGGCATCTATTGCCTGTTTCTGTGTGAACTGGCAAGAACACACGCTGATAGGAGTGACTCCATAGCGGGCCCTTTCCATCCTTCTCGCTCAACTGCACGCTCTGCTTCAATGGCCAGCGTAAGGACGCTCGAGGAAAAATAAAGCAAGAGACAGGGAACGAAAGGGCCATAGCGACACCCGCTGCTCCACACCAAGTTGGGCCCTCGTAGAAATACTCAGAAACAGAAGACGCGGAAAGCTTGCCTTCATCCCAACCCTTGATGACTTCCCCAACACCGATGGTGAAAGTGAAGGGCTCACGATCACGCGAGGAATCGAACTCCTGACAGTCCCTGAAGAGTACCCCTGAGTTGATGAGGGTCAAGACGGGTGCCCGTGATAAGAGATGATGTCGACGGAGGGAGCGAGATGGCGCTAGGTTACACTATTGTACAATGTCAAGGACCTTGGAAGCTTCGCGGTACCCCGGCAAATTGACGCAGAGTGGTGACGCGGGCCAGGTTCAGCCCGAACGATGGGTCAAAAGGCGGGGCAGAAAATAGACAGTAGCAGTGGTAGAAGATGGAGCTGGAACTTTGCGAAAGACCAGGCCGGGTCCCTGTTTTGTTAACTCTGATGGCGGATGTCCTAGCACGACCCCGGTTGGGTAAGTTCATCCGCCTTCAAATACACGATGAACTTAGACTACAGTAACATGTCACCTGTGTAGTGCATGACCAGTTGGTCTCCACCGGTGCTCTTCTTGGTACAATTCTGTGTTGGCGCCAAAAGTTGTCCGGAGCAAGCAAGACGAAGTTGTCAGTATTTGCACTTGGTCAACGCAGAAGCTGCTCAATCTTTACGTAAGAAGGATAGAACGCGCCCGCACGCAAGAACTCGGCAGCAAATAAATCGAGCCTCGGAAAACTCAAAATTAAGAAGTTGGCCTTAGGCACAGGTGCTCAGTTCCGACGTGGTGTAAGAACTAGAGTCCGCCTTTGTGGTGTATGCGCATACATACACGTAACGAGACCGGAGCCCCAACAACGCAACGGCTGCAAGATAAGACCGCAAGAAGGTGAGGAGCGATCCAACGTTGGTTTTAGATAGATTCAGGGCGGGGGAGGCGGGGGGGGGGGGCATCGTTGAAACAATCTGGTACGCGAAGAGGGGGCAGGTGCCGCTTGAAATTTGCGTGCCCTTGGTTGCGTGTGCGTGCCGCGCTGGGTGCATGCAGGGGAACCATGCCTTTACCCTTTGAGACACTTCAGCTCGGCCAAGCTTGAAAGTTCCTTCTTGATCGATACTTCGGGGCGATCAAACAACAGCATGGGTTAGGGTAGCCATGGAAATTCTCGACAACCGCGAGGAGTAGGAAATAGTTTCGCATTTTCAAGAAGCGTGGAATATCACCAGACTCTTACACTTCCCGGAACTGTCGTCGTTGTTGTTGTTGCTATTGCTTCCACAGATATTTTTCTGACACATACTCCTCCTGTGATTCGCGATTACCCTCGTTTTTGCTTTGCAGACACGACCCCGCGGTCAGAACGACGAGCTGAGTCTTCTTGGATTAAGACGACAGCATGGAGTCGGACGATGAGATTCACTTCATAGAAATTCCGGACTGTTTTCGCGTAAGCGTCTACGTCTCTTGCTCTTGACCGTTCGTTACTGCAACTGCAGCGCGGAGTATTCGATCGGCTGGGCATGAGTTGGTTAGGTGGGCTTATCACTCCGCAGTCTCGGCAGCGTACCCGCCAGCTCTACGGCCACCTTGTGCATTTCGAGCTAGACCAAAGTACCGTATGCGCAGCATGAAGCTGTCGTTGGTACAAAGTACAGAGGAGACCCAGATGCGGTGGTAGGATCGTGGGCTTTGCTTGAGGGGAGCACCGTAGAGCAGGGGGAGGGCACGAACGCCCAACGTGACCCTTGTGGACCACTATTTAAAGGGTTGGATGTTGCTCTTGGTGTACCATTTTCTAGGCGATGCCGCGTCTGTCTGCCCTTCTACCCAATCTGCTGCCGTGTAGTGATCGCGGAATCTGCGGTACGTTGGATCCAGAGGCTTACTGAACGTGTTTTCTACAGTATCTGCAAATAGGGTGTTTGCGGACGGACTGTCCGTGACGATGGTCTTGGAAGTCGGGAGCAAGTTCGAAATCAAGACCTGAATTAGGATTCTAAAACTGCTTGTGAAGACTGAAATGCCCCTCCCTGGTCTTTTTTTGAACATTTTTCAGGAAGTCCAACATGTGACGTCACGCACGCGGCCGTTTGCCCTTTATGTTCTGCTCACGTTCAGATGCACCGAGGAACTCACATGTCGCCCGCGCAGCACCGGCGATAACAACGCTGTCAAACGAACCTCCTTCTACCGTAAACCATCGAACTGAAGATCTCTATTATAGATTGCACTCTTGCTACTCCACCACGAAAGAACATGTACAGTCGTCCCCGCTTTAAAGCCACAAATCTTAAGGGCGCAAACAATTGATCTCAGAAGCAGGGTGCCACGCAGATATGAACTACAGGGGGGGTATGTTTTCATCAGACGGGACCACCAAAAGAAAAAATATGCTGCCGCACACCTGTTCTATGAAGTGCAAAGTTGATTTTTGGTATGGTTGTCTTCTTGGTTCCGTTTATGTGACGTTGTGCTTGGCTTGGTAAATAGAAGTATTTCTTTGCGTTCTGCCTTGTTGTTATCACGTTTGGACAGAGAGATGGGGTCATTTCTGTTTTCGGTCGGCATATTTGGGGTGGTGACGATCTGCATCTACCAACACCTCTGGGCAAGGTTTTCAACGTGGGGACGAAAAATAATGCCAACAAACAGAACAACACGAAACAGCGCACTACTGTTGTTACTGTTTTCCTCGTCCTGCAGACTAAACCGACGAAGTAAATGTAGGGGGTGGAGAGTGTCAATGTAGCCGAAGTACGTCCAACTTTCAATCACCGCCACCACGTCGTGATCGTTTTCTAGACTATTCCAAGGTGTTTTGTGTCGTAAGCAGTATTAGTATCCCCGCTGCCATTGCGCGTCTCTTGAAGTATGTTATACCCCCTTCGACCCCGGGGACGGTGAGTTATCTAGAGATTAACCGACACGTTTCAAACAAGAAAACCATGCAGGGTCGAATGCTGTATCGTACGTCCGCGGTAAAATCAAACCGTACGGTACGGTAGGGCGCGGTTGCCACGGAAGGAACTCGTCCCACGCATACCAAGGAGTTGGGGTAGAGGGACGGAGACTGCTTTGTACTTCTAGACGCCACGGAGAGCATACCTTTTTTCTCATGATGCCAATTCTCAACGTTCCGTCCGCTGCCAAATCCTGGCCGCTCCCACACTTCTTGGCATTGGTGACCCAAAGAGAGCACCCCGCGACAAGCAAGCCTCGGCAGAAAGCTGTCAGCTGCATGGTTCTATGTCTCGGCTCGAGCTACACGGGTCCCAACGACACCATGCGTCAAGATGACAGCAGTGCACGACGTACCACTCAGTAGGCCCAGAGAGGCAGACAGCAGTGTGACTATTCGGTGGTACATCTGTGTGGCCCCAGATGCCCCTCCCAAATTCAACCGCAGCAGACTTTTTGCCTCACACAAAACGCACAAAAGACAGCGTTTAAGCAGGAGTCACCGACCATGGCTGGGCTTGCGGAGAATATGCTGGGAATATCCAACGAGGAAGAAGGGAAGACGACCAGGGTACAATGCACCACCACCGCTTCTCCAGAAGCCTTCACCCTCGAGGTACTGCTGTTGCTGTATAGAGTAGTAAGAGTCGTCGTAAGAAACGCGGTTTTGAGTTTCTCCGCCCTGCAGCAGTGTATGCTGCTGTACAGCAGTGACCGCCACTCGCGTATCAGAGCAGAGAGCAGAGCCTTTCCACCCCCCCGTGCAGTATTCTAGCGGGCTGATGGTCAATGCATGGGCAGTGGGCATCACTTGCGTCGGAGATCGCTTCGGGAATCGATCCAATACCCATGGGTGTGGATCCATCCCCTCCCTCAAACACAGCGAGCGGCAGCAGGAAGAAGAGGACGTGGTGCATTCATGCGCGCATGATGGTACGTGAAGTACGCAGGGTGGGGGGAGGTGGAGATCGATGACCACCCCAGTGGTAACCTTCCTCCTGTGTGACCCCGGCTGGTTCTCAGTCACACACCGGAACAGAGCCGTAGACTGGCGCCCGGAATAGAGTAGGCGAAAAGTGCGCATACACGCGATCTTGATGTTTGATTTCCTGGGCTCCACCACATCCCGTTCGACCGTATTTATATATCTCGAATGGGTAGTCTTTCTGTGTGTGTTTTTGTTTTTATTATTCCTTAATTTCCTGGGGTGACAACGACAGCAGGACCTGCAGTCCTTTTATCTTTTCAGTGGTCAGCAGCTGGTTAGCCCGGTCGATACCAAGAGAGACATGAGGCAGCAGCTGGTGTGCCAAATGTTCCATGCTTGACCACCCTGTTGGACTGGTAGACAGCGACGGCACTTGAGCACAAGAGAGGCTCCCCGCCCATGACAACAGCAGTAGTTTTGCCGACATCACGTTCTCGTCTTTGTTTTTGTTCTGTTTTTCACGTCACCGTCCCCACACAACGTACATGTACCATAAATGCATACAAATACTCCCGGCGCTCAGTCGGTGTTTTCGCTTTCACCCATGGATGCCCCCCTCTAACGGACGAGCCGCCGGGGGGTCACGTAGAATAATTCGATCCTGCTGGTCTGTCGTTCATGCCTGTACCCTTGGGCAGGGCCCGGCCGCCCTTTCCTCACGAAACAACTCACGAGACGCCACAGCCCTACTACTGTTGTATCATAGGCACGAACTGCGGAACAGCCCGTCCCGTGCATGTATCTCGTCACAGCTGAAGAACACCGGAAGTCCTCAAATACTCTCAGGCCGAAGAAATTTTGGCTATAAATTTAACTTCATTGGCGATTGCTGGCGTGAACGGGTGGGGTGCACAAGTGCACACCGCTTTGAAACCTGATCAAAAGGCTGTGCAGATGGCAAATGCCTGCAAGGAGAGAAATCTTGCAAAACTGGGTTGTTGAACAAATAGATTTAAGTGGCGTCTGTATCCTAGCAAACTACACAGTTGCAGTTGCATACCGCCGTGTTGAGTGTTGACGTGGAGAGGGCAGCGGCCGATTAAGGGTAACTCACCCTGAAATTTCCGGCCAAAGCAGGGTACCCCGTCCTATACGCCGCACATCAACAACAGCAAAACCAGGTGCAGCACAACAGTTTCTAGTAAGGGTACAGCAGTTGCCGGGGTTCGCACACGCAGCTTCAAAGATGTTGCAGCTGTAGCTTCTCGTCATAAGCGGCTGACGTGAACGTTTTCCTCAAGCTCCAAGAGACAACCTCCTGCGAATCAAGACCAATTTATCTCTACAGCCACAGATTCCGCTCGTACCAAGTCAATCTGCGTCTCTTAAATCTCGCGCGCTTTCTCTCGAAACCTGGCGACGACACAATCCCCTGCCGATGATTTAGTGTTACTGCGCTGAATCTCCCCCCCCCCCCCCCCC